GCCACGTACATCGATTGCTTTAACTTTTTTGCGAGTAAATAACTAGCTATTCCACGCTTGAGGTAATTATCATTATTTCATAAAATAATATAATTAGATAATTATTAAGGTTCCTGAACAATCTTTTGATTATAACTTTTAATTTTTTTACTTGATTTGTTACTCGAATCAATCGACATCTGATTCTTGTCTCAAGTTAAAATTTGAGTCTTTAATCAATATTGTATGGAATTGAGAGGGAGTACCTGATGCTTTAGTATTTTTATTACTGTTTTAATTATTTAAATCAACTTTCTTTGTTCAACAATTTCCTAAATAAATCATTTATTTTTTAGTTTATTTTAGTATTTGTGTGATTGCTTTCTTGTTATAATTTCTTGAGGGTTCGACCTCGGTCTTCCGAGAATTATATTACTTCGCTCAACCTGCGCTTTGGTTTATAATATTAAAGTTGAAGCAGTGTGAGCAAAAGTGTGGTTTGCTATAGCCAAAATTGCTGCTCAAATTGTGATTCAAGGCAACCATAGGGAACAATATAATAGAATATGAGATTATAGTGAAGAGATAAAAGGACACACCTAGGATCAACTTTAGTTGTTGATTGTCAACAAAACAATCTTGGAGGTGTGATGCCAAGGTTTAGTAGGTTTTACTATTGCTTAGGACCATTGAAAGAAGGCTTTTTGACAGGTTGCATGCCATATATTGGCATGGATGGTTGCTTTTTGACGGGTCCTAATGCTGGACAACTATTGTCAGCAGTAGGGATAGATGGTAACAATGGATTTAGGATAGTAGCATATGATATTGTTGAGATGAAATGCACTAAGTCCTAAAAGTGATTTATAGGACTTTTGTGTGAAGACATTCAGATGGTGAACCAATTCCATTAGACATTCATGTCTAACCAGCATAAGGTGCCTTAGTTTTACATGTTTAATGTTATTGTCTAACAATGCATTTTGTCATTCGCTTTCTAACTGATTTATAGGACTGTTATGTGAAGACATTTAGATGGTGAACCAGTTTCATTGGACATTCATGTCTGACCAGTATAAGATACCTTAATTTTATTTGTTTAATGTTGTTGTCTAACAATGCATTTTGTCATAGTTACTTTCTAACACATTTCTTTTGTCCGGCAAAGGGGTAGGGTCTTCAAAATGCTATGTAGTCATTGTTACCAAATTGCGAGAACAAAAATTGTGTTAAGCACATGCAAAACAACTTCAAAAAAGTGCATAAAGGTAAACAGTTGAGAGACTTCATGTCGAGGTGTGCAACTACTAATCTAGAGTATTTTAGGAAAGAGATGGATGCACAGAGAAAAGAGAGTGTTACTATTTTTGATTGGCTTGCCACATCTATTCATCCAAGATATTGGTCTAGGTCACATTTCTCTGCCAATTCTAAGTGTGATCATATGTTGAACAATCATTGTGGATTCTTTAATGCCTTCATTTTAGATGCTAAGATTTAGATGCTAGGAATAAGCCAATCACCACCCCGCTAGAATCTATCAGGAACTTATTAATGGAGACGATAAGCAGGAGAACAGAGATAATGTTGAGTATGTTTGGTCCCAATTGCCCATATGTTATACAAAAATTAGAGAAGATAATCAAGGATTCCATGACCTGCAGGCCTAGGTTTAATGGGGTGTCTAGCTTCCAAGTCTCATGTTCCACAGGAGATCAATTTGAAGTGAATGTTAGAGATAAGATTTGTAGTTGTAGGGCATGAGACCTTAGTGGAATCCTATGCATGCATGTTGTTTCTTCCATCTACTATCAGGGGCCTGACCCACATTTGTTTGTGGATGACTGCTTCAAGAGGGGGAAATATATTTGAAGACATACAACCATGTTTTGTTTCCTATTAATGGACAGGAAATGTGGCTCCATATAGAGAAAACTCCACTAGAACCACCTATAGCTCATGTCCACCTTAGTAGACCTAAACAAGCAAGGAAAACGACATTTGATGAGCGGCAGAAAATAGGGACATTGGGCAAGAAGATGCTATGCAGTAAATGTGGTAACATTTGGCATAATCAAAGAAGTTGTAAAGTAGCAAATAGTGCACCAAGAACAACCAAAAAAGGGAAAAGGAATAAACGCAAGCACGTTAGTGGAACTACATCAACTGGTGGAGTGCAAGTGACATCAGTTAGAAGGAAGAAGTCGCCTGCAAGTGTACCTCCATGATGTAGTTGGATGGAGGTTGGCATCTTATAAAAAATCTATTTAAAAAACTTTTACATAATAACTTCTGGGAATTCCAAAACTACATTAAACACCATGGTTTAAGAATACAATGTACAACTTCATTTACAATTTTAAACCACACAATGTGCATATTAGTCAAACTTCACACCTAATCCTAGTTGGAATTCTTTGTTGCTTGTTCCAACTACATCATGCCTAGAAATGCATACAATGTATACAATCACCCAAGAAATTAACAGTGCCACATAAAAAATTCTCTTTTCTTTTGTCTTTTTTGTTGGTTCTCTACTACAATAACTTTTTTTAGTAGTCTTGGGATTATTTGGTGTTTATATGAACACAAAAAAGGGGTCAAACTAGGCGAAGAATCCATAACCTCTACCCTAAAATTTTTCGTACTTCTATAGATTTAACTGGTTATGTGTAAAAAAACATTTAGCATTCAAAGTTGCACATTTAATTGCCTAAGCCATTCTTGTTTGAAGTGATAAATGCATGGGAAATGGCTTGCACATTTAATTTCATGTTTATTCCCCCTAACATTAGGCTATGAAGTGATTTGAGGTGTATTTATGATTATAGGTGTGAGAAATGCATGGGAAATGGCTTGGACAATGTTTAAGAAGGAGTGGAGATGCAGTAGGAAAGGAATTAGGAAGAATTGAAGAAATGTCACTTTAACCGATACAACTCCAACCAGTTAAGCAGAGCCAAAAGGATACTTCAACTAGTTAAAGACTATATCCAACCAGTTGATCAGAGGTTTTGGGAGATACTAAGAATCCCAATGTTGAGTTTTATACTAATTTGTTAAATTTTTTGTAGAAGTTATCCAGAGATGCAAGAAATTCAAGCAAGAAGAAGTTCGTTGGAGGAAACAAACCCCGATTAAACACTAACTTCAACTTAGACCTTAAGCCCGATTGATCTATCTCCCAAGCACTCTTCGTACATAGTAGTTAGAAATTTTCTTTGGTGTTTTTAATTTATTGTACTTAATTCATTTTGTATAGTTCTTTTGTAATTTTGCAGTCGAAAGTTTTTCTTTATGGAAGTAGTGTTAGGTGTTTTCTTACCCTTATTATATTCATTGCATAATTGTTTTGCATTGGGGACAATGCACGATTCAAGTTTGGGGGTTAGGGTGCACCATTACTATGTTACACTACCATGTTGTATGTTAAAATTTGAAAAAAACATTGAAAAAAAACTAGAAAAGATAAGAAAAAAAAAAATAAAGCATCCGATTTGGACTATATTATTCACTTTTAATTAGTACAAGGTTAGTGATTATTCATTTTGAATCTTGAGCTATTTGCATGTTAACACACTCTAGGAGTTTATTCTATTTTAAGTATCATGTATATTTTTTCATATGAAACTCACCCTATGTGCACCTTGAGACTACTAATTTTTATAATTTATTGAATGAAATTCACATCTTAAAATGCTTGATATATATTGTGGATATGAATGTATTATCCTTGTGAGGTTTTGTGTCATTTTTTGTTGAATGGTTGAATTACATTTACTTAATAAATGATTCCTTCAAATTCAATATTTTTCAATAATCTTATTATTTTTGTTTTGTTTAGTATAAGTAAGGCAGTTAGTTGATTATCTCACTATAAGGGAATATCTTGCAATGTTTTTTTGGGAAATGATCTTAGGGATTCTTGGATGTAATTTGAACAATAGCCTATTCTTTCTTGACATCATCCCTAAAAGCCGTGATTGAGTTTTAATGAAAATTTTATTTCTATTACCCAGATAAAGTCCTATTTGATCTTGAAAAGTGTGGCAAATGTATGGTCTAATCATTAAGAGGTAGGTCAGTTGTATTAACTTCATTTTTCTAACATTCCTTTAATGAGATTATGTCAATGTCACTTCATTTTCATAATTATATGTCATTTCTAAATTATATGTGAGCTATATTTTGCTTTTGAATTATAAGAATCTGTCTCACATATAGACTATGAGTGAAATGTTTCTAGAGTCAATTCTTGTTTTGAGAGAAAAACCTTGGTGAGATTTGCATCAAAGCTAGATTTGGATAGCTAATATAGATGAGAGTTTTATTTGATAAGTCTCTTAAATTACACTATCATTTCACACACACACACAAGTCTCTTATGAAAATATGTATGTGAGCACTTTTACATAGAATTTAAATATGTCTTGTGCAAATATCCTAACATGGATGGAAGAATTGTTAATGTTCCTCATTTCTAGTTAGAAGATTATAATATAGTCTAAATTCGGATGTAAATGGAAGTTTGTAGATACCTTCACTAAAAACCTTCACGAGACATAACTCATTCACTAGGAGTGATGTAGGGGTTTAAAGGCTTGTTGCTTCGCTAAATGCAATCTTGTACCCTACAAAAATGGCTTGAGGTTTCATTTAGTGTTTTTAATTGGAAATCATTTTAAATAGGAGGTACTGTGTAGTTTTTATACATTTCTTGTGTGTTTTAACTTTGGTGTTGTATGTAATTAGGTAATTAGGTCTTGTAGGTATGTAAATAAGTTTTAAAAGATGTTAGAGTTGTTTAAATGAAAGAGAAAATTAAAAAAATAAAAAAATAAAAGAACCAACCGGTTCAACTGCAACCGATTAGTCAGAGAGAAAAAGAGATTCAACCGGTTGAATAACTGTCGATCAACCGATTGAACTGAGGGTCAAAATTTGGTATTTTAAAGGAAGATCGACGATTTTTTGCCTCATTCTTGCATTCCATCTAAACCCACTCTTTCAAACTTTTCCCCTCACAACTGAAAACTTTTCCTCATTTCTCTAAAATTATCAAACCCCTTAACTTCTTCCTCTTTTTCTTCTCCACTGAAACTTTCTAAGCTTCCAAATCCTAAGATTTCATCAATGACATCCAGGAGATCTTTGAGTTCTTCATCAGAGGATTTGTCTACGGGTTTGTTTTCATGGTTTTGGATTGGTATTGTGTCAGTTATGATGATATGTAAGATTTTGGTGACCATGGCCAAGACTTGAGGGGTGTCATCTTCAGCTTCAAAGCTGAGAGCAACAGGAAAGGAGAAAAGAAAGGGAAAAGCTACTACTTCGGGTAATGGTGATGGTAATAATGAGCCCTCCGAGTTTAAGACGAGGAAGAGATAGATAGTAGAGTATCAATCTATCATAACTGGGAAGAAGGCCACTTGTGAGTGGATGGTTGATCGAAAGAGTATAAATGAGTTTGTGGCTGTGAAACGGATAGTGGATTTAGGTTTGAAATTTTTCTTTGAGTCAATGCTTATATATATTCTTGCTTTATGTCGGAAGTTCTATATGGGGTTGAAGGAGGTAGACATTGATCTTATGATATTGAGGACCACATTACATGGTAAGCTGATAGAGTTGACCCTAGATTCTATGGCTAAGTACTTGGAGTATGCTAGGCCACCATCTAATAAGATTGATTATCCACACCCGGAGTTCAAAACTAAGAGTTTGGCCACCTACCTTAGTACCTGAGCCACCATCTGCAATTGTGACTGAACCTCGTGATCCAGGATTGGAGATTAAGAGTAATGAAACAGAGGCAGAGCTTGAGTTTGATAAGGATAATGAGGGAGATTCTGAGTAGAGTGATGTTAGGGTTTGTTAGTGTCATGTGTAGAATGTTATCTAGTTTTTTTAGGAAGTTATATAGTTGGGTTGTGATGACTTAGGATAGAAAACCTTCTGTTTTAGAATTTTGTTATGTGTTTGATGTGTATGTTTAATGTAATTGTACATGAGATGAATGGAAGAATGAATGAAGGACATGCTTTTTATTTCTGGTTTGCTAGGGACTAACGAAGCTTAAGTTGGAGGGTATATTTAGCATTCAAAGTTGCACATTTTATTGCCTAATCCATTCATTCTATGTGTTAATTCATGTTTCCCCCCCCCCCCTAACATTGGGCTATGAAAGTGATGTGAGGTGTATTTAGGATTGTAGGTGCGAGAAATGCATGGGAAATGACTTGGACAATGTTTAAGAAGGAGTCAAGATTCATCATAAAACTGGTTGAAGACTACATCCAACCGGTTGATCAGAGGTTTTTGGAGATACTGGGACAATCTAAGATATTGAAAGTATTTCGACTAGTTCAACACTAATCATTAACCGGTTGATCAGAGCAATTTCAAAAAAAGAAAAAAAGTATTGGGAGCACTTTAACCGATTGAAATCCTTACTCCAATCGGTTAAACTTAAGTCGGCTATTGCAGAAAAGCTTTCCAGAGTTTTGATTTGTCCACAGTGGCTGGAAAAGTACACTTTTACACTCATTAGGCGGCTGCTAATCCCCAAGAGCCTTTCTATTGGTTGATGGCAACTCCTACCTTGCACTGAAGTTGCTCGGATTCACTTGTACTATTCATCTGAGCCAATAAAAAGGAGAATCTATATATATACACACACACACTTGCATTTCTTTAGAGAGGTTATAGAGTTTAGGGTTTTTGACGAAGCTTTAGTATTTGTTTCAGAAGAGTTTGATATTTAGATGTCATTTTTGAAGGCTTTAAGCATTCAGAGAAGACAACTTTGACTTTTTCTTTTAAACTTGGTTTGTAAGCTTTGAATTGTATTTGAACTTGATTTTGTGAAGCAATATCATTACAAGCATTTTCCATTAATCTTGTTATTTTTCTACACATGTTTACTATGTTGTTCATTACCGATTTGAGAGTTATGAGCTTAGTTTTCGGCTAAGTCTTGGCGTGATCCGAGAGATGATTCTTATTTGTGGTTAAGTTTTGTTTATTCTCCAATGTGTTCTTACCATGAAGTATGTTTTTTGGATGATATAAAGTACTTTTGAAAACTAGTGTTTATTTATACACTTAGATTGACCGTCGACGATTTGTTGACACTATAAATGCTTAGGGTATAGGTTGATATCTATGTGTTTATCATTACAGATTTGATTATCTATCTTCAAAGTAACATATAGTTTATAGTGAGTACTGTTGAATATTCTCCACTCGAGTAAATTTGAGTATGTGCTCGGGTGAGTAAAAAGGAGGATCAATAAGCTTATTCATGACAAGATAATTCTCAAGGATTGATTGACTATTTTCATTTGACTATTACTACCTCAATTCAAACTCACCATCTTTCCACTCAATCAAATGTATTTTTCATTTCTGTTTCAACTACATCATCATTCAAATAAGAAAGTGTTCCTGAGGAGGCGACCTTAGAAATTTTCCAAGTTACTACACCGTATAATTTTCCTACGCTTGGGAAGCAGATTGTGACATTTTGAAGAAAGCAGACAGAGTAAGAAATCCGAAATGAGTAATTGGCTAAGCAACAAATATGAACAAATTAAACAGTGTTGATAAATGAAACTCACCATAGCCATGTGACAAATAAGGAACCTCCTTCATGGGTTTTTCTTGGTCCAAGATGTCTTCATAACTGTCCTTCTCCCACAATCACAAACAATATCCATGTTTCATCTCATTTTTCTCATTTTCTGTTCCTAGTCGATGCTCTATTTTCATCCTCAGTCCATGCTCTATTTTCATTGCGGAAGGAACAAGCTTATGTACTACACAAGAGAGATGGAGTGGTGGGAAAATTAGGCGCCAAAACAACATAAACCTGTGCTACTTATTTTGCCTCAAGACTGAGTCAAGTGACAGACATGTGATGGTCTCTCTGTTTAGTTTAACATCTTACCTAGACAGAAGGATGTGATTGAAACAAAATTTAAAGTATAGAAACTAAATTAGGACAATTTATAGTTCAGAGACCAAATTAAATTAGTATGCAAAGTTCAGGGACCATTTATGTTTTTTACTCTAATATAAGTGTAAGTTGAGATTGAGTCGGCTATTGTAATATTCAGTCTCGGCTATTGTAGTATTCTATATTATAATTAAATATAAATAATATTATATTAAGAGTTATTCTAAGATAACCAAAATGAACAACTGTTGAAAGAATATCTGTGAAATTTGAATTTCGCTCGTATTGACTTTCAGATCAATATTTAATTTCAAAGGTGTTAAATTTTGAGAAGGATAGTTAGGTAATTTTTTTGAAAAGAATTTAGATTAAAATACCATTACCATTGAATCCGGGAGATCGAACAATCTTAGGACAGGTGATATGGGGTTTATTAGAAGCTTGGAGTTATTTCCGGGTTTAAAAGTATTTTGGAGAGTATTCGGATTGGGAAGGAATTTGAGACTACTTTAGTTTTTTGACCATAAATTTTAAGTTCAACATCTAGTTGAATTGATTCTTGCGGCATTAGAAAGTATACTTAAAGATCTACACAAGTGTATTTCGTGAAAATGCATACATCGGCCTCTAACTAGGTCAAAATTGAACTGGAAGTCTAGGGTAGAAAGTCACCCTATTCGGACGGGAATGAGTGCATACAAACGTGCCTCTGACATTTCTGGCTGTGAGTGTGGTCCATCCAAATGCAAAAATACGCATCCGGATGCACCTCTAAAGTCAGCCTCAATTAGTTTTGAGTGTTTACTCCGTTTTTGACCCTATAAATACTCTACAGACATGTTTTACGGTTTCTATACATGTTTCTTAACCCTAAGGAGCCTAGGAGAGTTTTGAGAGAAAGAAGAGGAGAAAAGAGAGAAGATTGGGGCAGCGATTGTTGAGATCCGCACGTAGCAAACAAAGAAGGATATTCTAGAATCAGCTTTCGCTGAATCAAGGTAAGGTTTATTTTTCTTTCCTATTTATTGAGGGCTAAGACTTATTTATATTTAAAATATGATTCAACTCAATATATATGATCCATAACTCTTTTGAATTTCTTTCAAAAGTATGATCAATTTTCATTTAAAAATATATGATTTACATATAATTATACATTTTTTGTTTGAACACCCTAAATCTTGAACACAGTCAAATTGATAATGTTTCTTAGTGATCTACTACATGTTATTGAAATTTCCTTTATTTTGAGAATTGTAGAGCTATGATTTGTGGTACACGTGAATTTTATTGAAAAATATGAATATTATCTGCTGTATAGGTGGGCGTGATGAACTTGAATGTATTCAAACTTATATCACATAGTGCTTAGATGAGTTTCTTATCCCGAGGGGTTTGAAGGTTCCCTATCATTTGTAGTGGAGTTATTTAGTTTTTTGAGAGGTTTCAAAAATTCGCACTATTCGCTCATGTGGGTCGATGTTGTGGGTTACTATACTATTGCTACAAAGATTTCGTTAAATATTGATGCATCAATATACATGCTTCCTAAAATATTGTGGTCCTAAAAGGATTAGTTAGAGGATTTTGTGTGCGTATGTGTGGGCCAGATATATTCATTATGTGAATTCTTGTTAATCAACTTGTGTACAAGAGGTCTGTTATATGTTGTAGTTTTCTAAGTTGTTCTACTCTATGAATTTACATGTTTATGTATCGTAAACTTGAGATCATTATAATATCACATGTTTTACTTCAAAAACTATACCTTAATATTTTTTAGATTTTGCTATTGAGGAGGATATATACCTAGGTGAGAATTCAGATCTGGATATTGAAGCAAATCGAGATGTGGATCCGACTTTTGAGACTTAGAGATTTATTTAGCAATTTATAATTTAATGGTTTTGATGATGGACAACGTTTATGATTAGTATTTAGTTAGAGATGAGATATTTGATGTTATTTAAGATTTTTGGGATGTAAACTTTTAATGGTTGATTATATTTTGGAGGTTTTTAGTTAGATGAAGTTGAAAATTGTTGTTTTGATTTATTTTATAGTATCATTAGTTATGCTCTCATAATTTTAAAGGTCATTAGTCAAATCACGCCTGTTTATTAATTTAGGGTGACACAAAGTTGGTATCAAAGCATAGCAATTATGTCTTAAATGGGAGCTGTAGGAGTGGGCTAACAAGTTATAGTTGTAGTAGGTATAGGATTGAAAGGATGCTAGGCATTAATATTAAGGAAAATGATTTTGTCAATATTGGAGAAGGTTATGAGATATGAATGGTGACAAAAATATTTTTTTTTTGTTTATAAGGCATAAGTTTTGGTCCTAGTTTTTGTTTCAAAATACAAATTTTAAAATCGGGTTTCAAGGCTAAAGTAAGTCCTTTTCTTTAGTAGACCTCCTTGGATGAACAATTTTTAAAAGGAGTAGAACATCTAAAGGCTTGCGGTTATCCCGTGCCCTCCAAGCACTTGTTCGAGGTCATCAAACATTAGGAAGGGGGAGNTCAAATTGATAATGTTTCTTAGTGATCTACTACATGTTATTGAAATTTCCTTTATTTTGAGAATTGTAGAGCTATGATTTGTGGTACACGTGAATTTTATTGAAAAATATGAATATTATCTGCTGTATAGGTGGGCGTGATGAACTTGAATGTATTCAAACTTATATCACATAGTGCTTAGATGAGTTTCTTATCCCGAGGGGTTTGAAGGTTCCTTATCATTTGTAGTGGAGTTATTTAGTTTTTTGAGAGGTTTCAAAAATTCGCACTATTCGCTCATGTGGGTCGATGTTGTGGGTTACTATACTATTGCTACAAAGATTTCGTTAAATATTGATGCATCAATATACATGCTTCCTAAAATATTGTGGTCCTAAAAGGATTAGTTAGAGGATTTTGTGTGCGTATGTGTGGGCCAGATATATTCATTATGTGAATTCTTGTTAATCAACTTGTGTACAAGAGGTCTGTTATATGTTGTAGTTTTCTAAGTNAGCGATTGTTGAGATCCGCACGTAGCAAACAAAGAAGGATATTCTAGAATCAGCTTTCGCTGAATCAAGGTAAGGTTTATTTTTCTTTCCTATTTATTGAGGGCTAAGACTTATTTATATTTAAAATATGATTCAACTCAATATATATGATCCATAACTCTTTTGAATTTCTTTCAAAAGTATGATCAATTTTCATTTAAAAATATATGATTAACATATAATTATACATTTTTTGTTTGAACACCCTAAATCTTAAACACAATCAAATTGATAATGTTTCTTAGTGATCTACTACATGTTATTGAAATTTCCTTTATTTTGAGAATTGTAGAGCTATGATTTGTGGTACACGTGAATTTTATTGAAAAATATGAATATTATCTGCTGTATAGGTGGGCGTGATGAACTTGAATGTATTCAAACTTATATCACATAGTGCTTAGATGAGTTTCTTATCCCGAGGGGTTTGAAGGTTCCTTATCATTTGTAGTGGAGTTATTTAGTTTTTTGAGAGGTTTCAAAAATTCGCACTATTCGCTCATGTGGGTCGATGTTGTGGGTTACTATACTATTGCTACAAAGATTTCGTTAAATATTGATGCATCAATATACATGCTTCCTAAAATATTGTGGTCCTAAAAGGATTAGTTAGAGGATTTTGTGTGCGTATGTGTGGGCCAGATATATTCATTATGTGAATTCTTGTTAATCAACTTGTGTACAAGAGGTCTGTTATATGTTGTAGTTTTCTAAGTTGTTCTACTCTATGAATTTACATGTTTATGTATCGTAAACTTGAGATCATTATAATATCACATGTTTTACTTCAAAAACTATACCTTAATATTTTTTAGATTTTGCTATTGAGGAGGATATATACCTAGGTGAGAATTCAGATCTGGATATTGAAGCAAATCGAGATGTGGATCCGACTTTTGAGACTTAGAGATTTATTTAGCAATTTATAATTTAATGGTTTTGATGATGGACAACGTTTATGATTAGTATTTAGTTAGAGATGAGATATTTGATGTTATTTAAGATTTTTGGGATGTAAACTTTTAATGGTTGATTATATTTTGGAGGTTTTTAGTTAGATGAAGTTGAAAATTGTTGTTTTGATTTATTTTATAGTATCATTAGTTATGCTCTCATAATTTTAAAGGTCATTAGTCAAATCACGCCTGTTTATTAATTTAGGGTGACACAAAGTTGGTATCAAAGCATAGCAATTATGTCTTAAATGGGAGCTGTAGGAGTGGGCTAACAAGTTATAGTTGTAGTAGGTATAGGATTGAAAGGATGCTAGGCATTAATATTAAGGAAAATGATTTTGTCAATATTGGAGAAGGTTATGAGATATGAATGGTGACAAAAATATTTTTTTTTTGTTTATAAGGCATAAGTTTTGGTCCTAGTTTTTGTTTCAAAATACAAATTTTAAATCGGGTTTCAAGGCTAAAGTAAGTCCTTTTCTTTAGTAGACCTCCTTGGATGAACAATTTTTAAAAGTAGTAGAACATCTAAAGTCTTGCGGTTATCCCGTGCCCTCCGAGCACTTGTTCGAGGTCATCAAACATTAGGAAGGGGGAGGGAGGAATGGTTTGTGGTTGATCAACCTTATCCACTGTTAAACCTTAAAATCTTAAAATCGTGGATTCGAACCTTGTTATTTTCCTCTCTAGTAATAGTGCCTCAGAGAAAAAAAAAAGGGGGAGGGCAAGGTGAGAGTACCCAAGAGAATCATACATGGGGTGACTAAGACTTTTACATAAAATTGTTTCCTATTACACCTTTTGGCACTGTAGGTCACTTCTATGTAATTAAACACCTCAAGGGAAATTTAGTATTTTTCTATCTGTTACACAGTCAGGAGTATGGTAAATAGTGTAATAAAATGTAGGCAAATTTAAACCCTAGGATGATTTACAGAATCATTTAAGTAGAAAATAATAATTTTTGTAGTGATCTGGTTGATTGGCCTACCCTCAGTCAAGTGGATGTTGGTCTAGTGGTTCAGAATTAGTCGATTGGCTTCTACAAGAAAACATTGAAGAATAGTAATGCCCAGAAAACACTGAAGGGAGCAACACCTCCAGCACATTCTTTGAATTTGAAACCTTGAGAAATTGACACAATATTCTTCGGATATGTACCTACCTGGAGTTCAGGAGGTTTTAGAGCCACTAGTTCTTGGAAAGATAAACTTACACCTGGCAATATCCATTTGGTTGAACCTCTTTTCAGATAAGGAAGTGGATTATATTCGCAAGATTGTTTTTTTTATTATTATTTTTTATTATCACAGTTGTCTATGCAGATTATCATTATATTTTCGTTCACTTACGAAATTAATGCTAGAAATTATGTAAAATCGTCTCTCCACACAAGGATGTAAATTTATGACCGGTGGCCCCAATGAGCTATGGTTCATGGGATATTTAAAATTATAATATACCCTTTACGAGAGGTTTATCACGTGATTGAACTATCATTAAACCAACTCCTTAGCATTAAAGATTACTTTTCTCGCAAGACTACGGTGTCAAAGTGATATTTTATGATATCATATTAAAGTTGAAACAAATTAAAAGTGAGGTTATGACTAAATCAAGTAAGACTATTACAAAACGAGATTATTTGAGATTAATCCTATTGTTTTAGAATTTATCCTAATTTTTTTAGATTGCAACTTAACACCATTAAGTCATAATTGAGCTCAAATGAATCATAATTAACCTTATTTAATAGTAATGCTAGTAGGACGTAATTTGAAAACTTAATGATGGTGGCCGTTAGATTATCAGTGGGCCCCAATATTAAATTATCGTTGGGTCTCAATACTATCAATCCAATAGTCATAATGTATTAAGTCCCTAAATTATATTTTTAAATTATGTCCCATGATCTTTACGGTAGATACACTTTTTAAGTGACATTTTTCAGCTCTCTATGCTCGTATGCTCTTGAGATTAGGAGAGTGTAAGGTCAGAAACAAGAGGGAAGTCAGTATTCATATTGCAAGGAATGGCTTCCATAACAATGACAGCTTCATATCCCGGTGGCTCAGCCGCGGCCATTGCGAAACAACCTCCCACAATCGCCTGCTGTGGTGCTGCCACGGCCAAGGCCATGGCCGCAAAGGCGACAGAACTCGAAAATAATACGATCAGCTACAACAGCAAGGAAGAAACCAACACCAAGAGGAGGGAGTTGGTTTTTTCTGCGATTGCTGCTGCGGCCGCATGCTCCATTGCTGAAGCTGCCATTGCAGTTGAGCCGAAGCGCGGGACACCGGAAGCTTTGAAGAAGTATGGACCTGTTTGTGCCTCAAATCCTACAGCCAGAATTTGTCGAAAGTGAGGGTTAAACATTTTCTTCATGGTTTGTTGTGGTTGCACAAGAATGTAAAATAAAACCTCATTTGTGTTGTTTACTTGTCCTCTTCATTGCTTTATGTTGTCCAATGAGTTCATATGCATCTACATTTCCGGTTGCTGTGAGACCAGTCCTCTGAAACAATCACTAATCTTCCAATTTTTTCAACTAAAACTTGAATTTCCATTGATGGGAAATTGAAGCTTTACAAGAAAACAAGGGGAAAAAAGAAAATCTGTTTACGAGAAAAAAAGAATGCCAGACCATTACAATCCAAAACAGTGTTACGTGGATGATCCCGCAGTTAAAAGCAGAAAGACAGATCACCTCACAGATCTACGAAAATCTGAATTCACATAAAAAAAAAAACCTCTTGAAGACAATTGCATACTATTTATCAAGACAATCAGGTAATGCAAGCCAGAATTCTTTTAGTACCAGCTAAAGCAGAGTTTACTCTTTTATGGTCCCATGTAGAATTGCAAATCATCATTTTCAGAGTCACCCAATTTGCAAAACTGAGAACACACCCAGTTCAGATTAGTTCCCACAGCCCTCAATCCTTCATGACTAATTTGTTCTTAAATCCACCACATTAATTCCAGTACAAATGATATTTTACACACTAAAAGATGTTAGCATTCTCAATTTACACCCTAAAAAATTGAAAAATTCCCATATTGCACACAAATGTAATAATGTGCTCCATTTTAAGACAATTCAGCATCAATTTTTTGTTGAAAACACATTAAATTGAGTATAATACAAACAATTAGGTATAAAAATTTATAATATAAAACAAGACAGATTTTAATAAGTCCATCCGATGGTCTCAAATAGACTCATCTACCAACCACCAAAATTTCACTCAAAATCATTAACATTGCACTATACTTTTAGGCACGGCTTCCTCTAGTATGATAATATACAAATGCAAATAAAAAAATTGTCAGAAAAGACAACGAACATTTAGTTTTGGACCACATTGCTACATTGTTATTAGATTGAGGGTGTAATGCGAGAATTTGAGAATCTTTTTTTGGTGCAAAGTGTCATTCACCCTTGATTCCATGATCAACAAATATGATAGCATTTTTTCCCCTTAATCAAGGATATACCCAACAACTATTTTGGAACTTAAAAGACAGTTGTAAAACATGCAATTCAAATTACTCCAAATGTCACAAAAAAAAGATAAAGATATTTTAATCAGCAGATAAATAAAAGTTTATTTTTAAACAAAAGCAACAAGAAACAGAATTACAAAGGGGAATTTCTCAAGAAATACAAAAGACAGGACCAAGCCCAGGAACAAAAAAAAAAAAAAGAAAAAAGAAAAAAAGCAAACTCAACGTGATCAATATTGTACATAAGATTTTTGGTGACCTTTCTGCCTTGAGTACTTGAAGCTTATATGGAGAATATCAGGTGGCACATCCTGTGTGAGGACAGACAAAGTTGAAGGAGAGGCCTGCAAAGTGCATAATATGGGAATAACCAACTTGAAACCTCAAAATATGAGTTGCCTAGAAACCACCCGCCGTATATCCACCATCAACCACCACCACCTGCCCTGTGATGTATGAAGCAGCAGAAAGGCAAAAGAATGCCACAAGTGACGCGATCTCTACTGCCTCGGCCATGGGTCGGAGAGGAGTTCGGGCCACTAGTGGCATATACATCTTCATAATGGTTTGATCCATTTCCTCCTGGAGAAAAAAAAATTTAAATGATGAGCAATTCTAGTGGTACTCTGTATTTACTTCTAAGAATGGTAACTGTTTATTGAAAGTCAAACTGTAAACATCAATATTTTTTCAGGGGAAGACAAAAAGTATAACAAAAGATCTGAGTTTTCACATTGCTGCTAAATTGCTTGCCGATTAAAGTAAATGAAGCAGAAGTCTTGTTGATTCAGCAAAAAGGAGCCATGGCGGCCTGATGATCTGCTGCTTATAAGTTACTGTATCGCAGTATATTGCTGATGTTGCTGGTTATTACTTTTTGGTAATAAAGTAATACTAAGCTAAGCTATTTGGAAGTTCATCAAAGCAGCACTAAGCTACGTTTTGGTAACATTTAAGTAACAAAAAACCTTTTATAGCGAAAGCATAGTTGATCACCATAACAAAAGTGAACTATATGAATCTTGATGCAATTACTATATATACGATTAAACTTAGAAGAGTGGATCAGGCTCGGACAAGGAAAAAATAAAATATAAATATGTAAAAACAAAATCTACTTAAAAAAAAACAAGTATCTAAAAAAAATAAAATTAAAAAAGCTTATTTAATGAGCCTATATATTTTGATTGGCTGCTTTCTTCTTTTAGATGGCATTTCATATAATTATCAAATGCTATTACCTTGTTCTTATGAGGGGTTTTTCGTACATTTTCCTCTTCAGTTCGAAAGCATTACTATTTTCTATCAATAAAAAATCCAGCTCACTTATAAAAGAAGAAGTATAAAACCAAATAAACTTTTGTGTGCATTAAAAAGGAGCTGAGATGGGGGAGGAATATTACAGGTTTCGCGATTGTGGTTTTGGTACCCCATGGTGCAACCGTGTTGGTGCGAATGTTGTCTTTTGCCCACTCACAAGCCAAGTTCTTTGTAATTTGATTGATTCCAGCTGGGAAAAAAAAACGGGTGTGAAATTTTGAAATCTTTTAAAGCATTTTACCTTCAACTTTGTGCTAAACCACAGATAGATAACCTTTAGCAGCTGCATAGGCAGTTTTTGCAGGTAGACCAATCACACCAGCTACTGAGGAAATGAAAACAATACTTCCATTGCCAGATGTTTTTAGGAGGGAGTATGCAAGTTGGCACAAATGATATGGGGACTCAAGGTTAAGCCCTATCATACGTGAGAAATCTTCTGCAGTGACGTCTAGAGCTTGTTTAAGTGTAACTGCTCCCGCATTGTTTATCTGAGGCACACAACAACACATATTGCTTTCAAAAACTTCATCAAGAGATTAAGCATACAGATATTTACAATCTCAAGGAGCAGATAACAATTTGCAGACGCAACTAGATGTAGTACTTGCAATCCATGGGTTAGTTAAAGCCCCCTATGGGCTGATTGAGAAAACTCCTACAAAAGGTAAGGGCGACAATATTCGACACACACTGTACAAGGAACGCAAGAATGATAGGAGCTACTAACATCAATGATAATAGAGTTAAAGTGATGTCAAACACGAATAGCTTTGTTTTGACACCATAACTTCATTTAGTTGGCATTGTATGAAGAAAATAAATAAATTGACCGCAGTCACCTCATGTTTGAATAATGCATGCTGCAGAGTGCAGAACTTGAGGATGAGGACCAAATAAAATAGAGATTGAGTATCCTAGCCTTACTCCCCCCTCCCCATGTGGACTTTGTGACCCATAAACTTGGAGAGGGGTGTTCACCCTATCATATGGGCAAGAAATATAGTTTTTCGTCTTCCTTTTCTATCCGATATTTACAGAAGAATTTTTTTTTTTGACCTACCTTACCCGATCAACTATGGTATTTCTACCCAACTTCCGACCAAATTAACCGGGTAAAAAATCGGATAAACACTTTTGTAGTTATTAATTTTTTGATCATTTTAACAATTCAATTAAATAACATGCACCAATTTAACAACACAATAAACTAATAACACTAAAATCTAAAATAATTACAACAACAATTGCAATAAAATACAAGAAAGCATAAACATAAATACATCATAATTGTTGTACAAATACAATAACAATTATTTTAAGTTTAAACCATATGATTAGGGAATTAGGGTTTTTAGTATATATATATATATATATATATATATATATATATATATATATTAATGCGGGTAGGATAGGGTAAGAATATAGAAATTAATGACTATTTTGCATTTTTACCCGATTTTTTTAACTAACCGTTTAATAGGGTTGGTTAGAGTAGAAAATTATGACTAACTGAAAATTTGAACACACCTAAACTTTTTACTTTTTTTTTTTTTTTGGTGGGGGGGGGGGGGTTGTTCCACAGGGTCATGCCTCGCCAAAGATGAGATTTTGTCTCATACTCCTGTTTTGGTGCTCTTTCTCACGTCCCTTAGTATAGGTTATTTCCTTTTTTCTCTTTAGGTGTTCACTGCGTAAATTGATAGTTATATGTGAATATATATATTGTAGTATAGGACATGTCTCAATTGATTATCAAGTTTTCCAGCCCTTGAAATAGAATCACAAGCGGGATATATAGGGTAAAAAAGCATAAGCACAGATACCAGTGGAACCTCCATAGCTTTAGTAAGGCCTGCAACTGTGTTTACCAAAAGAAACACAGTCTCACAAAAACATTCTGTCAATTCCTAACAACTTTTCAGGGGTATTACTTTTAAGGATAGTCTTAGGTAAGTTCTTTTGGCAGCCAATAATTAAGGAACAAACCTCTTAACCTATTTTTTTTCACCCTGCTAGTAATATTGGGTAGTAAAACCGTTTATTTACTGCAACTATTCTCGGGGAAAATATGGATTATTTCCTTGTGGTTTGACAAATTAACACATCACTTGATGAATTTAGACATATCCCCCTATGGTTTTAGATTAAAATTAAAACTATTATGATTTTAGATCGTGTCCAAATGACTTTTATATCCTTATACATATTATACTTGTTACTAGGATACCTCGTGCCATGCGCTCTTTCTTTTATTGTGATAAAAAACTAAGATAGTGGTTAAAATGGTTAATATATAGGTGAGCGGTTAAAATCTCTATTGTGGTTGATCGTGTTTAAAACAAAAATTGTAAGATTAACCATTGGACGCAAGTGATTTGAGCCATTGTTGACTTGTTGTGTTTTATGTTGTGTATTACTATACATATTTTTCCTTTCTCAAAAAAAAAAATCAAACTCATCATTGCTTTTCCCTTTGTATGTATTAAATAGATATTTTATTTTTAGGAGAAAAAAAAATAAGAAATTGAAAAATATTTGAAGAGTATAATTGTATTTTGAGTAAACTACACATATAGTCCTCAAACTGTGATCTTTGGATCAATTAAACCCCCTGAACTCTCTAATTATATTAATTGAGCCTTTTTGATTACTTGATCAATATAGTGTAGCTTAGTGTGCTAGGCAATTCAATTGGAGAACAAATATAATTTCAAAGTTAGAATAAAAGAAAAGTCTATTATACCGAAGAGTTACTTTTTAATATCTTATTCAGAATTACGACGTTGTAAATAAAATCATTTGATTTGGGATCGAAAGTAAAATATTAGTGTGGATCCAATATTTTTGAGTAGTAACTTGACCCCAATTAAATAAAAACAACATTTTTATAATCATAACTTGAGCCCTATTTAGTTATAGCTAACCATATTGAGTCACAACTTTCAGAAATAAGAGATGGTAACTTACGAGAATGTTGAGTTTGCCATCGAAAACAGAAGAGACAGTCTTAATTAGCTCCTCTCGTTGTGTTCTTGATGACAAATCGCATAATGAACCGGTTACTTTAAACCCTTTGGCTGCCCACTCTTGCAACCTTTCATCGAGTTCTTTTTGATTCCTTGAACATGTATGTATAGCAGCACCAAAGCCAGCCAGTTCCTCCACTATGGCATATCTGAAATCCATACTCAAACACAAATAAACCCATTACAACAACGAATCAATCATAATCAAAAGGGTTAATCAGAGGTCAAAAGTCACGAATTCTGAAAAATAAAAAATCATAAATAAAAATAAATAGAGAGATACGAACCCAATGCCTCTGGTACCACCGGTGACAAGAGCAGTCTGTCCCTTAAGAGACCATCTCTCTTCTCTGGTACCCACTTTGACATTTGCCAAGCTTTTTGAGAGTTTTTCCATTAGTTCTTCATTCGCCATGGTTTTTTTAGCAGCAAATTTTCTTTCTCTTTCCTCAACTCAACAAAAAATGATGGACAGATTAGTTGGGCTTTCTTCCCTTGTATAGATCATTTTAGGATGCCCCAAGTCAAAGTTGATATCCCAGCCAAAAAGGAAAAACAGTCAAGGGTGATATGATATCAGGGTGATAGATCTCCCTACAATAAATATTCGATTCACCATATACGGTTTGGATTGGTCAAAGCTGCCTGGTATTGAATTTTTTAGAATTTAGGGCTTGGATTATTCTGCTCTTCCCTTCTAGATGCGTTGAAATTTGGTGATAAGAATAGCACCTTCAACAATTTCATTAATTCAAAATAGATGACCCGCACCGCACTTCATAAAATATGATTTTAATACACATTAATTATTATCTGTTAAAAAAATAAGATTAATTATACTAGAAGTCTTTAAAATATGAGATTTATCTCATTTTGATCTCCAATATTTTAATTACATTATTTTGGACTATAAAATATTAAATATGTTTCTATATGGACCCTCAGACAGACAACGTCCATATTACTAACGATTTTTTATCATAAACTTATAATGTGATACTTAAATATGGACAAAAAAAATAAATTAGATAACTCTTGACCAAATTTTTACTCAAATTTTGGTTAAATACCTACTCAAATTACACAATTTTGATCACAAATTTTCTAAATTTTGGTCAAAAACTACCCATATTACTCATTTTTTTCGTCAAGAGCTATTCAAATTTTATTTAAGAGCTACCAAAATTATTTTTTATCTATTTTTAGGTATTATGTGACAAGTTTATGATAAAAAATTATTAGTAATCTGAACGTTATCCGCTTGAAAAACCTTATAAAAATACATTCAATACTTCAGAAACTAAAATGATATAATTGAAACATTGACGACCAAAATGAGATACACTCATACTTTTGGGACCTCTCGTGCAATTAACTCAAATAATAATAATAATAATAAATTGTAAGATTATGCTTTGGCGAGCGGCACCCCAACGGGTGGTGACCAAAACTTATCAGCCTTACTACTCTTTTTTTCCCCCTTATCCTTTTTAGAGTTGCCTACCATCCTTGATGATCCTTGTGTGGCCATCCCTGTGCTTAACATGTTAAGATTTTACTTTCCGTTAAGAAATTTCTAGCAAATGCATGAAATATAGAGACACCAATTCCATGAATATACCAAAACTAGTAGTTTCTGAACATATTCCAAGCATGCAACCGTTTTTTTTTCCATTATAAAACATGAAATCATTCAATTTCTCTAATACATCAGTTTGAGTACTTCACTTACAAAACATAAATAGTTAAATAAAATTAGGACCAATCGGAACAATTTCATACCCTCGTTTAGGACGTAGGGTTGCGGCACAAATGGAAAACCTCAATAAATTAATAGGAGATGGTGATTTACCATGTTTTCAACAACTTAAAATGGATAAGCGTACGTTCAACATTGTTTGTGATCTTCTTTGTAACAACGAAGGACTTAGTTACACTAAATTTGTGAGTGGAGGAAATGATTGCCATGTTCCTTAGTATATTAGCTCACCATACAAAAAATAGGATCATTAAGTGTAATTTTTGTAGATCGGGAGAGACTATCAGTAGACACTTCAATGCAGTGTTAATTACAGTATTAAAAGTTCAAGACTTACTGCTTAGGAAACTAGAACCTGTTCTGAAAAATTCCACAGACCATACGTGGAACTGGTTCAAGGTACTTTATTATGTGAACTAGATTATTTTTTTACTTTAATACATTGATTTATTACTCAATCAATTTGATTTTATTCTTATTCAACTTTAGAATTGTGTCAGAGCATTAGATGGTACCTATGTAGAAGTTAAAGTACCTGAGACTCACAAACCGAGATATAGATCAAGAAAAGGAGACATCTCAACCAATGTATTAGGGGTTTCTTCCCAAGACATGCAATTCATTTATGTCTTGTCTGGTTGGGAGGGATCAGCTGCAGATTTTATGGTTCTACGCGATGTAGTAACAAGGCGAAATGGATTAAAAATAAAGCGCGGTAATACTTTTAGTCACAAGCCCTCACATTTAATTTATTTATTAAAATATATATTTCATAGTAAGTAATTCTGAAGCTCTTTTTCATTCAGACGCATATTATCTAAGTGATGTTGGTTACACCAATGGAGAAGGATTTTTAGCACCATATAGATGTCAAATATATCATTGGCATGAATTTCAAAATGGTGTGCTAGCACCTCAAAATGCAAAGGAACATTTTAATTTGAAGCATTCATTAGCTAGAAATGTCATCAGAAGATGTTTTGCACAACTTAAGCTTTGTTGGGCAATTCTTAGAAGTCCTTCGTGGTATCCTATCAAGACAATAATCGAATCATAGCAACATGTTGCTTACTTCACAACCTAATTAGGATGGAGATGGCATTAGACCCATTAGAAGATGAAGTTACCGATGATTCGACAGATGATGTGATTGATATGGTGGAGACATCAAGCCAATGGACCGCATGGAGAGATCAATTGGTTGTGGAGATGTATAATGAATGGAGGGTAAGTAGAGGACTTGGACCAGCGACGGGAGTCTAGTGATTTGTGAACTTGTTCATGTTTTTTTGCTATTTAGGGAAACCACAAATGAAAACATTGTTATCCTTAGTTTTATGTCGGTAATTTCTATTTGAACATTTTTAATAAATCAATTGTTTTTGTTAATTTATATTGTTATTCATAGATGTTAGTTCTTTGAATTCGTTAATTTTTAATGGTGATTTCCAAATACTATTGATTTGCATTGTCAAGAGCAATTATATTATTCAATTGACAATTACTGGCTGTGTATAAATGATTATATTTTTGTTGTTTAGTCACTTAATTATTTATGTTTTTTTGCTTATGGGTAGTTTGTTGGTGGGCCAACTAGTTTGCATTATCAAGTGGATAAAATTTTTAAAGTTATTAGATGATCATTTTTTTATTGTGTAAACTAGAACTTAGTTTTTAATCCACTTGATAATGTTAAATGTTGTATTGGTTCCTATTTTTTCTTTTCACTTAGGAATGGCTACTGCAAATGGCAATCAACGAAAAGGTGCAAACAATGACAAAGCTACTAGAAGGACTTGGAGTACAGAAGAGGAAAAACAGCTTCTTGAGGAGTTGACGGATATTATTGCATTGAGGTGGAGGTGTGAGAACGGGACCTTTAGGATAGGTTATTTACAACAACTTGAAAAGTCTATGGTGAAGGCTATTCCTGGATGCGATTTGCGTGCTGTTCCGCACATTGAATCCAAACATAGAACGTGGAAAAGACATTACAATCTACTAACAACTATGTTGAGCACTAGTGGATTTGGTTTCAATGAAACTGAAATTACGATCGAGGTGGACAGTGGTCAAGTTTGGAAGGAGTTTGTTAAGGTAATAATTAATTTGAGTAATTTTTTTTTGCTTTATGAATTTTAACATGTTTTGCAAATAATATAATCTGTCTTTATTAATGTAGAAAGAGCCAAATGTGGATGGGATAAGGACCAAATCCTTTCCATTTTATAATCAATGGTGTGTCATATTTGGGAAAGATAGGGCCACACACTTCAGGAGGCTCTAAGTGATTTTCTTGAGGGGCTAGGGAGAGAGTAAATGATGGATCCATAAATGAAGTTGAAATGGTGGGTTCTAATGACATTGGGAGTACAATGAAGTAACTCAAAACTCGAATGAAAATGTCGAGATCCACACTGGGAAAAAAATATGAGGAAGAGAGTTGATTCTGGAGTAGGAGATATTAAAAAAACATTTACTTCTTCTTTTTTTTTTTGAGAGTACACAAGTACTAGGGGACATGGCTAACACACATGAAATATGCACATGACGTTGTTGACAAAAGAGCCAGGGTCTATGGGGTACTTGAGCAAATTGAGGGGCTAAATTTCTTTGACAGAACAAGAGTTGGGCAGATGATTGTGAATGATCAGAAAAGGGTCAACTACTTCTTTAGCTTGCCCGATACTGCAAAGCCATATTGGTTGCAAATGCTTCTTGGTGGTAATCTTTAAAGTGAGAAGATTTTCACTTCGGTGGAGAGTTCATGCCATTTTCTAGTTTTAGGAATAAACAAGTTGACTTAACATTTAATGGACTTTTAAAAGTGTTTTAGTTTTTCTATGTAGTTTTGAGTTATGTGGATTTGTAATGGTTTTGACAATGGTTCACATAAATGCATTAATTCGAATAAAGCTTTATTTTTTTGATTGATGGTATTTTTATTGATATTATTGCCAATTAATTATTACTGTTTTAACTCAATGGAATTTTTTTTAACTTAATGAAATTTTTTTTGCAAGTATAAAATGAATAAACTTGATCTTTTTGGAAACGGGGCTAAATCTCAGTCATATTCACAGTTAACGATGATGACATTTGAAGGGGATCGTGATATCATTTATATTGTTGGTAGTTTCAAACACTATAATTGATTGAGAATATTTTTGTTAATTTAACATTAATACGATGAAATAATTCTATAATCAAACAACGGATTGGACTAAATAACTATTATCTAATGCTTATGTTGTGTATGTTAAACATTCGATAAAATTACGTATTATTCTAATATTCATTTAATCTTGTCTTTTATCTATTTGTATTGCATTAGTCTGTATTACTTGATCCAATCTATCCATTTCTAATATAGCAACCAAACGAGCCTTAAAAGCATCTCCAACCTAGCTCTCCAAAATAACTAGCCAAAATATATTTAAATATTACATTCTCTACTTTAACTAGCGACTTTTACAAATTCACTCCAACCACACTCTCTATTTTAACTAATTAGTTCTCTCAATTTTCTCTAACTTTCAATAATTTAAAAGGAATACAATATATATAGAGAGAGATAGACAGAGAAAGAGGTTGAGAGATAATTTAGAGAGGCTAAATAACTTTTCATATTTGGAGGGCTATTTTGGTAATATGGAAAATAGAGAGTGGAATAGATAGTGGATTGTAGAGTGTTTTTGGTGTTTGGCTAGGTAAAATAGCTAAAAAAAAAAAAGGAAATGAAATGTGGGTTGAAAATGTTGTAAGCTTTGATTTTTTAGTACTGCAGTCTTATAGTATTTCTTTTGGACATAGATGCTAGAGCTGTCTTGTATTGCTGATTATGCAATTAAGATTATATTGGGCTCTATTTCAAAAATAATGCAATTAATTAAGAGCATATTGTCTGATCAATTGAGCAAATTAGGACATTTTTTTTTTGCTTATGGCTGTGAACAGTGAATTATGCTTGAGTTTTCATAATCATTGTGATTAGTTTTTTTTATTATATTATTGGTTTGAACGGTGAGCTATTGAACTAGTCCTTTCGTCGGGTTTTAAAACTATGCATTTGAGGGCATCGACCAAACACTGAGAATCGTAGTCATAGATAGCGAAGCTGAAACATAGCAAACAGAGAGGAATATTATGAACATCATTCTGACGAAAGGAACTCTCTCAGACACTCCTCCACAGGTGCCCTTCCCAACACATTAATCGTCAGTCTCTCTTTCTCTCTCCATAACGTATTTCAGTGTTTTGCATGAATACATATGTATGTTTGTTTTTAGGTGTGCCCAAGATTGGGTTTGTGAATTTGTTGCAACGCAGAAGGGGATTTAGGGGAGGTATGGCAANTGATGGTATTTTTATTGATATTATTGCCAATTAATTATTACTGTTTTAACTCAATGGAATTTTTTTTAACTTAATGAAATTTTTTTTGCAAGTATAAAATGAATAAACTTGATCTTTTTGGAAACGGGGCTAAATCTCAGTCATATTCACAGTTAACGATGATGACATTTGAAGGGGATCGTGATATCATTTATATTGTTGGTAGTTTCAAACACTATAATTGATTGAGAATATTTTTGTTAATTTAACATTAATACGATGAAATAATTCTATAATCAAACAACGGATTGGACTAAATAACTATTATCTAATGCTTATGTTGTGTATGTTAAACATTCGATAAAATTACGTATTATTCTAATATTCATTTAATCTTGTCTTTTATCTATTTGTATTGCATTAGTCTGTATTACTTGATCCAATCTATCCATTTCTAATATAGCAACCAAACGAGCCTTAAAAGCATCTCCAACCTAGCTCTCCAAAATAACTAGCCAAAATATATTTAAATATTACATTCTCTACTTTAACTAGTGACTTTTACAAATTCACTCCAACCACACTCTCTATTTTAACTAATTAGTTCTCTCAATTTTCTCTAACTTTCAATAATTTAAAAGGAATACAATATATATAGAGAGAGATAGACAGAGAAAGAGGTTGAGAGATAATTTAGAGAGGCTAAATAACTTTTCATATTTGGAGGGCTATTTTGGTAATATGGAAAATAGAGAGTGGAATAGATAGTGGATTGTAGAGTGTTTTTGGTGTTTGGCTAGGTAAAATAGCTAAAAAAAAAAAAGGAAATGAAATGTGGGTTGAAAATGTTGTAAGCTTTGATTTTTTAGTACTGCAGTCTTATAGTATTTCTTTTGGACATAGATGCTAGAGCTGTCTTGTATTGCTGATTATGCAATTAAGATTATATTGGGCTCTATTTCAAAAATAATGCAATTAATTAAGAGCATATTGTCTGATCAATTGAGCAAATTAGGACATTTTTTTTTTGCTTATGGCTGTGAACAGTGAATTATGCTTGAGTTTTCATAATCATTGTGATTAGTTTTTTTTATTATATTATTGGTTTGAACGGTGAGCTATTGAACTAGTCCTTTCGTCGGGTTTTAAAACTATGCATTTGAGGGCATCGACCAAACACTGAGAATCGTAGTCATAGATAGCGAAGCTGAAACATAGCAAACAGAGAGGAATATTATGAATATCATTCTGACGAAAGGAACTCTCTCAGACACTCCTCCACAGGTGCCCTTCCCAACACATTAATCGTCAGTCTCTCTTTCTCTCTCCATAACGTATTTCAGTGTTTTGCATGAATACATATGTATGTTTGTTTTTAGGTGTGCCCAAGATTGGGTTTGTGAATTTGTTGCAACGCAGAAGGGGATTTAGGGGAGGTATGGCAAAGAAAATGGCTTGGAGTTTAGAGAAATGCGAAGTGAATGGTGAAACCAAGTTAGGGCTGGTTCAACCAGCGACGGAGGAATATGCTGAAGAGGCAATTGAAGCTCTGAAAGCTGGGAAAGTCATGGCAGTGCCCACTGATACACTTTACGGATTCGTTTGTGATGCTTGGTATGCCAATTCGATTAGTTTCGCTTCTACCATGAACTTGAATTAACAGATTCGTTTTCTGTCGATGTGGTTTTGTTATTGAAAATCTTGATGTTTTTGGCTACATTTAGTTGCTCTATACATATGGAACTTAAAGTTCATGCCAATACCAGTGTGATTGTTCAGAGAAACCCAATATTGGTAGGATGTGATTATGTTAACTTTCTTCTAATCGACTAAAATATATATCTACTAGCGTCCGACCTGTGTCCCCTTCTTCACCCTTTACTCTTTACCCTCTCCTACTCAATATTTTATAAGTTAGCAAAAAACATTGTAGAAATTATTGCATTGCAAATTTGATGTTTGAATTTTTTTTTAAATTAGTGGTGGTTAGAGGGAGTTTATGGATAGTTATTTACATGGCGGTCCAAGACTATATGAGGCCTAAAGTGGCAACTAAAAGTGAGGCTTTTTATTTTTAATCTTAATAATTTTTTATTGAAAACATATTCTTCTTTTTTTGAGATTAAAAATATTATTAGTTTTTATGTTATAAGTTTCGGAACCATATCTTTTTTATAGTAAATCTTAAATTTTATCAATTTTAATTTTAAAAAACTTCTTTAAATTTTAAACAATCATGGTCTATTGATTTTTATATTTGAATTTTAATAAAAAAATAAAAAATATTCTGATATATTTTGTGCAATACAAATCAAAAATAATTTGTAACATGAGATTTTTAAATTTTATGTTTTGGACACCGGGGGAAGAGAGAGAGAGAGAATGAATTGTGTTTGCTTTTTTTTTTTTTCTAAAAATTTTATTTTGATGTATTATTATTATTATGGGTTGAGTTCATGAGCCCAAATTATTCAAATTTATTTTTGATTGTATTTAAATTTCATAAGACTTTTTTGGGGGGCTAAAATCTTATGAATCTAATTTTTTTTTTGATTGGGACTAACTATACAACTAAAAATTTTGGGGCCTAAAACTCGGGCTTTGTTGGCCTTGTGGTTGGGCCGGCTGTGGTTATTTAGGTTAGTTATTGATGCACATTTGGTAGGATATGATTGGAGGATATGTAATTTAATAATTTACACTTCTTAAGCAATCCCTTTTCCTAACAACTTGATTGTTTTATATATATAGTATAGATTAGAAACCCAATTTGTGCGAATCATTTATAACCCATCATATTATTTTCTTCTTTTTTCTATTCTTTTATCTCTTTTACCCGCAACTTAGGAAGTTAGAGAGTTATAGGTGGTTGTAGGGTGATAAAAGTTATATTTAATACTAAGTTTGTAAAAATGGTGGTTAGTTAGTGGATGGTGGGAAAATTATTTAGACCATTGGGTAGGATGGGATGTAATTGGACATCATCTTTTGTTTTAGTTAAACTAAGAAAAGAGGGAGGCCAAGCTTCTTAAGCCTTTCTAACCCAAAAAATGATTCTTTCTATATATGCAGATTACACTCTGGAAAAATTTACCTGGATTATTCAGTTGTGAAATTCTTAGGGCAACCTTGACTCTTGTTCTTCTTAAAATATATTCCAGTGATAGTTTGTTTTGGTGTTGGGCCTACTGCACTTCTACGGAAGCAGTTAATAGGATTTATGAGATCAAAGGGCGTAAGCATATGAGCCCACTTGCAATTTGTGTTGGGGATGTACAGGACATACAATGTTTTGCCATCACGGATCATTTGCCTTGCGGCTTGCTTGATTGTCTCCTTCCAGGACCTGTAACTGTGGTGTTAAGGCGAGGTTTGTAAATCCTAACTTTATTTTTGCTGGAGTATTGCAAAAAAATGGGGAAAGAAAAATATTTTTTTTTGTCCATGTCAACTTAAGATATACCTATCAAAATCTACTGATAAGGCAAGTTGAAGCTAGATTACAAGCTAGATCACACCAGTAACTTATTCTCTTACTGTCTCATGTCTGAAATATATCATCAGTTGCCTGCTAAGTGCTAAGTGAATACATTCTGCATGGGATCCATTCACTGGCACTTACTTATGATATTTTTAACTTTTTTCTGCAAAGTAATAACTGATATGTTGCCTTGTTTTTCTAGGTTTCAAATTGAAAACTGATCAAACTGGTTTTATTTCTTGTATAATCTGATAATGTAAATTTATATACTTTGTAGGGGACTCGAGTATTCTTGAGAAGTCATTAAACCCATATTGGATAGCATAGGAGTTCGAGTGCCTGACTGTAACTTTATCAGGGTTATTGCCCGTGGTTCTGGAACTGCACCAGCCCTTACGAGTGCAAACCTTAGTGGAAAGCCTAGTAGTGTAGACATCAAAGATTTTGAGAATCTCTGGGAGCACTGTGTATACATCTATGATGAGGGTATGCTTCCATTGGGACGTGCAGGATCGACGATTGTGGACTTTTCCAAGCTGGGCAAGTACAAAATTCTGAGACCGGGGAGGTAAGTGTATGATATGCCTATTGGAAGCATTTTGTTTATATTGCTTTCAGAGTAGCAAAGTCATGGAAGCCATAAAAGCAAAGATGAGGAGGTGATGATAAGCATTTTACTATTAGAATACATCAACATTGTACACCATGTCATGCACTCATTTTACAGGATATAAAAAACATCATAACATTGAGGTGTTTAACATGCAGAAACCCAAAGCATATCTTAAAACTTCCATCTGGAATCGATACCAAGTAATTTTTGTACAAACCAGAAAAGTGGAAAATTTTAGAAATTTCCACCAGAATTTGACAATAACGAGCATAACGTCGTGTTTGATATCCAAAATCCTGTAGCATTAGGTGGTGCCGATTTCTCCATAGGAGGGATGCCCCTTGTTTAACTATAACTGAGGTGCTTAACTTGTTAAAACCAATTCAAATTGGATCTGGGCTTTAAAAAAGCATGATGCTGTAAATATTGAATTAATGCTATATGAACTTGCTTCTGACCTTTTTCCCTTAATGCTGTTACTGGTACGTGAATCGTTGTCACGAGACTAAATAAAGAATCATTGCACATATCCAATGGATATGTCTTACTTTGAAATCACGTCTAATTGTTGGCTTGGGTTGTAACAATTTTGATGGGTTTGTTGTATCGACAGTGCAGAAGAAGAGACTTGTAATCCTTGAGAGACACTCGCTACTGGAAGATGGAACTGCTACTTAACAAGAGTTTCAACTTCTTATATGACCTTCAATGTGTTAAGAAAATTTATTGGTATGTTGGAGAAGGGGTCAGCTATGCTTGAGCATATGCGGAACAACGCCGCCATACAGAACTATTGAAGATAAATTTGTGACTCAATCGTCCGAGGCATGTCTAGGGAGGCTTCACAAGGTCTCAAAATTTGTCATAAACTGTTGTCGACTACAAGTACTCTACAAACTTTGTGCACCCGAAGTTCTGATAGGATTTGTGATTGCTGTAATTATGATATTTTCACCTGTTAATAGTTGTGTTANCAGTTGCCTGCTAAGTGCTAAGTGAATACATTCTGCATGGGATCCATTCACTGGCACTTACTTATGATATTTTTAACTTTTTTCTGCAAAGTAATAACTGATATGTTGCCTTGTTTTTCTAGGTTTCAAATTGAAAACTGATCAAACTGGTTTTGTTTCTTGTACCTTATTTTAATCTGATAATGTAAATTTATATACTTTGCAGGGGACTCGAGTATTCTTGAGAAGTCATTAAACCTAGATTGGATAGCATAGGAGTTCGAGTGCCTGACTGTAACTTTATCAGGGTTATTGCCCGTGGTTCTGGAACTGCACCAGCCCTTACGAGTGCAAACCTTAGTGGAAAGCCTAGTAGTGTAGACATCAAAGATTTTGAGAATCTCTGGGAGCACTGTGTATACATCTATGATGAGGGTATGCTTCCATTGGGACGTGCAGGATCGACGATTGTGGACTTTTCCAAGCTGGGCAAGTACAAAATTCTGAGACCGGGGAGGTAAGTGTATGATATGCCTATTGGAAGCATTTTGTTTATATTGCTTTCAGAGTAGCAAAGTCATGGAAGCCATAAAAGCAAAGATGAGGAGGTGATGATAAGCATTTTACTATTAGAATACATCAACATTGTACACCATGTCATGCACTCATTTTACAGGATATAAAAAACATCATAACATTGAGGTGTTTAACATGCAGAAACCCAAAGCATATCTTAAAACTTCCATCTGGAATCGATACCAAGTAATTTTTGTACAAACCAGAAAAGTGGAAAATTTTAGAAATTTCCACCAGAATTTGACAATAACGAGCATAACGTCGTGTTTGATATCCAAAATCCTGTAGCATTAGGTGGTGCCGATTTCTCCATAGGAGGGATGCCCCTTGTTTAACTATAACTGAGGTGCTTAACTTGTTAAAACCAATTCAAATTGGATCTGGGCTTTAAAAAAGCATGATGCTGTAAATATTGAATTAATGCTATATGAACTTGCTTCTGACCTTTTTCCTTTAATGCTGTTACTGGTACGTGAATCGTTGTCACGAGACTAAATAAAGAATCAGTAAGACATATCCAATGGATATGTCTTACTTTGAAATCACGTCTAATTGTTGGCTTGGGTTGTAACAATTTTGATGGGTTTGTTGTATCGACAGTGCAGAAGAAGAGACTTGCAATCCTTGAGAGACACTCGCTACTGGAAGATGGAACTGCTACTTAACAAGAGTTTCAACTTCTTATATGACCTTCAATGTGTTAAGAAAATTTATTGGTATGTTGGAGAAGGGGTCAGCTATGCTTGAGCATATGCGGAACAACGCCGCCATACAGAACTATTGAAGATAAATTTGTGACTCAATCGTCCGAGGCATGTCTAGGGAGGCTTCACAAGGTCTCAAAATTTGTCATAAACTGTTGTCGACTACAAGTACTCTACAAACTTTGTGCACCCGAAGTTCTGATAGGATTTGTGATTGCTGTAATTATGATATTTTCACCTGTTAATAGTTGTGTTAAATAATGTATCATGGCCATGTTTTTAGTTGATTCCTTATTTTGTTGTGAATCCATTCTACATGACTACCTTGCTTAGCCATCTTTCAGCATACTATGTGCAACCCATTAGATAAGAGTTATCTCGTTGTCATCCTTTGCAATCATTTATATGGATTTAAAATAGTGTAACGCACCCTGCACTTTCGACTTGGGCGTCATAATTTTAAGTCACGAAAATAGTCTTATTACACGTCTGGTAAGATTGCACATATCTCAATGTCTCAAGATCTCCTAATGTGGGGGGAAGGGGGGGTCATCGGATTGTCGTGTTTCCTTTGCACGTAAATCACTAAATGAATTCTTTTAATTGTAATCAACATAAAGTCTCCTTATGCGTTTGTCTAGTTTTAAATATTATTGACTGGTGTTAGGGTCACTGCAATGAGTTTGATTTTCTTTTTGTACAGATGTGAAATTCTTCATTTGAATTCTTTCCAAAATCGCTCACATTTTTTGAAAAATAAAAAATAGAGGAATTCACAATTTATTTCTTTTACTAATACATGAGCTTAAGTGCAAGAATTTGACCATAGGATCTTTTTAAATTTTAATTCTACTAACTTCGATTAAATTCAACCATCTATTATTAATTATTTGGATTTGTCGGGGGTTAGGGTTGTTCAGTGGCGAATCCACAGTGGGGGCAATGGGGGCAGTTGCCCTCACTGGAATTTTAAATATTTTTGGAGACTAAGTATGATTTTAAAAAATTTAGAATTTATTAGATATTTGCCCCCGCTGAATTTTTTTTAAAAGATTTAAGGGTAGTTATGTTATTTTGACAAATATATGAGTCTCACTTGTAAATAACAATAGAAGATGATATCAAAAATTTGGGCATTTAAATATTAACTAATATGTTACAAAATAGGTTAGCCCTGTTATTTGTTTTATGTTTATACATCGAACTAAATTTAGGGCTTGTAATCATCTTCTTTGTTTTATGTTTATATGTTAGAATTGAAAATTAGGATTTGTAGTCCTCTTTTGTAGCTTTCTATTATATTTTATTTGTTACATGTTAAATTGAAAATATAAAATTAGGGCTTGTAATCATCTCTTATGTTTTATTTTGTATGTATTGAATTGAAACTAGGATTTGTAGTCTTATATTTATTTTTCTATGTTGAAATAAAATTGGGGCTTATAGTTCTCTTCTATGATTTATTTTTTCATATATTTAATTGATATTTGGGTTTGTAGTCCTCTCTAGTATTTTATTTTTATATGTTGAATTGGAATTAGGGCTTATAGTCATCTCATGTGTTTTATTTTTATTTGTAGAATTGGAATTGGGACTTGAAGTCCTCCATTATAATTAGACTAAATTATTTTGATTTGGTAGTTTGAATAATTTTATTGTGATAAGTTAAGTACTTCATATACCTAGGTTTAATTTACTAGAATAATTATAGTGTAAGTTAGTTTCGATTGTTTGATAAAATTTAATGATGAATATTAAGTTTGTGATTGAACAAATTAATTTTTGAATTAGTTATGAAAATTTTTCTTAAACTTTAATATATGATTGAACCCAATTTTGCGGTTCAAAACTTTTTTATTATGTGTTATAGATAAACCTATAATAAGTTTTTTTTTTGTTAGCTCATTTTGTTTATCGCTCATGTATATGAATTGCGTCTTTAACTGATATTCTATTAATAAAATTATACTTTTGTGAATATTTTAAATTTTAATATAAATATAGTTTAGATTGCCCTCACTGGAGAAGATGTCTGACTCTGCCCCTGGGGTTGTTAGTCGTAATTGTAGACATCCACAATGAATATTTAATGCAACGTTAATATTACCTCAACATTCTCGTGCAGTATAATCATTCAATAATATTTTCTTCGGGGGATATTTGAAATTAAGATTCAAGGGAGTAAATACAATAAATTAAAAGGCAGCAAGCAAAAATAAAATCCTAAGCTAGCTTATGGTGGTGTGTGTCCAACTCCACTTGTCCTTGAGTTAGGTTGTTCGTCCGATTTTAGTGAATCAGTATAGCCCATAACAAGCCCCCATTTTCCTAGTTCGTGCGCTGCACCTTTTGTATTCCTTTGTGTGTGTACAAATTTCCACCCTTGATGGTGTTGTAGTATGTCCTTAATGTCTTGTAAAATTAGGATCGGCTGAAACCATAAGAAAGTTGTTGTGATCGTGCAGCAATTATGGTGAATAATAAGGAATTAAACAATTAAGAAAGCAAGAGAAAATAATACACAGATTTACGTGGTTCGGCAATGTGCCTACATTCACAAGAGCTAGCTCTAGTACGAACGTATTTACAAAAATACATTTGTACCGTACCGCAGGGGCTCCCATACATAAAATATATCAATCCCACAAGGCAGATGCCGTCGCGGGCTCCGCTACGCTCCAACATCTACCTCCTTACCATTGTGCACACAACAAATATGAGCCACACATACTTGAACAATCTCCACCTTGGCAAATATTCACTCCTTAGAAGAAAAAAGAGAACATGTATCCGGGAACTCCACCGGGGACGCTAAGTTGGGGTATCTCCCATCTAGCAACTAAAGACATTAATCAAGTCCAAGCAGTGCTTGAACTTGTCTGTAATAACAGGCTTTATCAACATGTCTGCTGCATTCTCAGAAGTGTGAACTTTCTCAAGTAATAGTTCACCAGAAGAAATTAGCTCCCTGATCTAATGAAACCTCACATCTATGTGTTTGGTCCTCGCATGATATACCTGGTTCTTTGCTAAAAAAATGGCACTCTGGCTGTCACAATGCAACTGAACTCCACCTTACTGGGCACTCAGCTCCTTGACCAAACCTGTAAGCCACAAAGCCTCCTTGGCAGCCTCAGCTATTGCCATATACTCTGACTCAGTAGTAGATAGTGCAATTATAAGCTGTACCATGGACATCCAACAAATAGGTCCTCCCACAAGAGTAAACACATAACCTGTGGTCGACCTCCTATTATCCAAGTCCCCTGCATAGTCTGCATCCACATATCCCACAACTGAAGGGTCACTCTGTTGTCTGCTAAACATGATGTCATAGTCTGTAGTGCCCCTCAAGTATCTGAAAATCCACTTGACTGCATCCCAATGTTGTCGACCCAGATTTGAAAGAAACTTGCTAACCACGCTGACAGCTTGTGCCAAATCTGGTCTTATACAAACCATAACATACATCAAACACCCCACTGCACTAGCATATGGGACCTTTGACATGTCATGAACTTCATCATCTGTCTTCGGGCACTGAGTGGTAGACAATCTGAAATGATTTGCCAAAGATGTACTTACTGGTTTTGCATAACTCATGCTAAACCTGTCCAACACCTTCTTAACATAACTATGCTGGGATGACCATAATCTCCTAAAACTTCTGTCCCTGCGAATCTTCATCCCAAGAATCTTCTTAGCCGCACCCAAATCCTTCATGTCAAATTCTCTGCTCAACAAAGTCTTCAACTTGTTGACCTCACTTATACTCTTGGCAGCAATCAACATATCATCCACATAAAGTAATAGAAAAATAAATGAATCATCATCAAGGATTTTCACATAGACACAACAATCATACTCACACCTTTTGTAGCCAATCCGGATCATGTAAGAGTCAAATCGCTTGTACCACTGCTTTGGAGACTGCTTCAACCCATAAAGTGATTTCTTCAAATTACAGATCAAATGTTCCTCTCCAGGGAGACTGAACCCTTCTGGCTGTACCATGTAAATCCGTTCCTCCAAGTCGCCATGAAGGAAAGCTGTCTTTACATCCATCTGCTCCAACTGCATATCTGAATGTGCTACTAGTGCCAACACTGTCCTGATGGAAGTGTGTCTGACCACGGGGGAGAAGATCTCATCATAGTCAACCCCTTTTCTCTGTGAGTAACCCTTTGCTACTAGAC